GTGGTCAGCATGCGAGTGAGACTGAATGACATCACCTAGTGTAAATAAAGAGAAGAGGCCTGGGAACTGAGCCCTGGGGCCCTGCAATTTTAAGAGGCTGGGGGGAATGAGGAAGAACCGGCAAGGGTATTGAGAAGAAGCAGCCACTGAGGGAGCAGGAAAGCTGGTATTGTCTTCTGTTTACTAACTGATCCTTCTCAGGATGGCAGGTTTACCCAGGGGCTAAGACTGGGGGCACTGGACTCCAGATCTGGATTCAGTCACAGGTTAAGCATTAAATGAGTTTACACTTCTTATATGCTGTTGGATCCAATACAGGAGTTGGAGGGTGTTGGTTTGTGGAGTAATCATTGATTGCACACCACACACCCTAAGCATATATTGAACGTCAAGGGAATTTTTGCCAAAGAATAACACAGAGGCCCTGATTACAGGGAGCTCACAGTCCAGAAGGAGGGAGAAGTCCTAGAAGCCAATGATTCTCCATGACATCACAACATGACAAATTCCTTAATGAAAGTATGAGCCACCCACTGAGAACAGGAGGAGTGATTAATGCAGCCTGTGATGGCCTGACTTGAATGTGATGCATTTTTTTTTCATTTGCTGTTTACATGCCATCTTGCTCAAGAAAAGCATGACTCTTCTTGAGCAATGCCAATCCATGTGACAATTTATGAGAGTTCTTTTCTTTTGGAGAAAAGAAGTGGGAAAAAATTCTTGGGGTACAGATAGATGGTGGTCCTACTTTTTAAAAAAGTTAAGGACTACCATCTTGGATGAAATTGAGTCTAGAATTGTCTAGAACAGTCCAAATCAACAGCAACCTCCGAGATACCCTCTCACTTTTGACTGTTGCCAAATCACTCCTAGTGTAGCCCTCATGTAGTAGGCTTAACTACTGAGCCCGTGGGGTAGGCTTCAATGATTTTAATCTTCTTCCTTGGGTGATGATTTACCTTCCAGTTGGAGGGAAAGCTTTCCTTCTGCAAATAATGAAGCTCCAATAACATCAGCCTGTCTCATCTTTAACAACCACCCAGTTCTCATGAACAAGATTTTCTAGCATTTTCTTGTGCTCTTAATTTTTCTTTGCTTTCTTCTCTATGCATTCATTTTGGTTAGAACTAAACACCTGAGAAATAAAATTTGTCATGAAAAATTGTCCTTCCATGAGTTTATTATGAATTCTTGCCCTGAAAATTCCAGGACAGATTGCAAAGCTGTTTTAACTCCGTGTTGAGCACATGAAGTACTACCATTATTCTGCAAACTTATAGCTCCCTGCAGCTCTGCCTGAAGATACACTAGGGGGGTTGGAGCAGGTGAATATTTGGATTATTGTGGCCTCCAATCCTAAAGTAACTATTATTCTTCAGTTCCGTCATGGCTGGGGTGGATGATGGTCAATGTACTGGGGATCAACACAGGTAAGGGTTGAGCATTATCAGCTGGGATTATAAGGAGGACAGTTTTTCAACCACACAGCAATATACTCTGGAATTAGTGTTTGCACTTCAGAAAACAAAAGGCCTCCAGAAATCATTAAAAGAAAGTCAGAGAGTCATGTATTTCTGATTTAAAAATGAACAAAACACTAGTCTTATCTCTTGCAAAAAATATTTAAGGTTTATTTCCTAAGTAGAGTATATTACTTGAAGAACAATCATTCTTCAAAGTTGTTCCTGTACTTGAGCCTTTAACTAAAAGGACTGAATTTCTTTTACTATAGGAATCCCAGTGATGCCGAGTGCCATGCAATGAGTGTTTGTGTATCCCCAGAATTCACATGTTGAAATTCTAACCTCCCATGTGATGGTATCAGGAGGTGGGACCTCTGGGAGGTGATTAGGCCATGAGGGTGGAACCCTCATGAAATAAATCAGTGCCCTTGTGAAAAGGAGTACAAAGAGCTCCATGACCCCTTCCACCCCCTGAGGACAGACAAAAAAGACAGCCTTCTAAGCAGAGAGGAGGTGAATCCCCACCAAACTCTGTCAGAAGGATCTGTCAGCACTTTCATCTTGGATTTACCTGCTTCTAGAACTCTAAGAAATAAATTCCTGTTGTTCATAAGCCACCCACTTTATGGTACGCTCTCTGTTACAGCAGCCCAAGTGGACTGAGACGCCAAGCTTCTACACATGTTGGTGAGCAGGCAGTCCTGTCTCCCTCCTGGTTTGGCCAAGTCTCTCAGAGATGCCCACCCATTCTACAGGCTCAGTGCTGGCTACACTCATCATTGCTGAAGCCTAGCTCTGCTCAATGGGAGTAATAGCAGACATTCTCCCCTGCGCTCCCCTCCCTTCCCCTGATTCTCCCCAGTTTTACTCAGCCTCAGGCGTGCCACGCCAGAACCGGCTCCCAGTGATATAGCTCTTTAGGGTCAGTTCTTCAGTTGGCAAGTACATGCCATTTCCCCAGGCACCCCCATGGTGTCAAGCTGGGTAGGTTGGAAAGAGGCTCCAGCATCCGTCTCATGCTGTTCCCAGAGCCAGGAATTTGGGAGTGATCGGCTCCAGGCCCTAGGCCACCAGCCCAGGTTCTCCTCTATCCTGCAGTGAAAGTCATGTCAATGGCCTCATCACAACTGTCTGTCACTGAGCCTCTGTCAAGGCCCCCCTGTTTCATCTGACTTGTTCTGGTAACTTTGAATCCCAAAGAAACTAAGCCAATAATGCTCAGTATGGGTCGTTATTGTTGTTGAGCATTATTTGCTGTCTAAGTGCAAGTTCCTATTTGATTAAATTGAACAAAACAGGAAGGATGGGCAGGGGTTGGCCCTGCCGCACCCGGTGAGCGTGTGTGTTGTGTGTGAGTGTATTATGGGGAGAGGCGCGCACCGTAAGGACCGGCCCTGAGGTGCACTCTTCTGAGGTGCAGCTCTTTTCTTTCTTGGGATTGATGAGGAAAATCTAAGGTGGGGCAAATAAAGAGGTATTAAAGACAAATTTGGGGTGATGGAGATTTTATAACCTGTTGCTAATTTGAATCATCAGAGCCGACAGTCCAACGTTTGGGCAGAGGCCTTGCACTGCCTATAGTCACCACGTAGGATATTTCTGTAACTCCTGAGTCACATAACAGGCCAGATACAAATCACAGTGTAGGTATGCCAGGAACCCCTACATTTTCTGCTGAGAGCCTTGGGAATCCAGAGGGAGACAGACAGTTTGGTCCATCGCAAACAGGTTAATTTGGCACAGCCCGATGAGTAATGCTGAGCATCTCCTCCGTGCTAGACCTTTAGGGGGTGAAATGCTGTAGCTCTTCCTGTGGAAGAGTTGATCACCTCCTTCGGGTAAAGAGAAGCGTGTACTCCTAGAAGCAATTAAGACAACAGACTCTGTACAGGGCCTCTGGGCATGACCTGTCACTGCCGTGGTTAGCATTGTGTGACCAGCTCCCTTCAAAGGGAAATGCTTACCTGTCCTCCTGCTTGACCATTCTGCATGACACTAGCCTGATTCTCGGAAACAAGGAAGAGGTTGTTCCTAGTGGTCAGGACACTTGGGTTGAGAAGTGAGATGGCAGCCCTTCTGTCTGGTCCTGAGCTGGAGTTGAAATGGTAGCTTTCACTCCTGGAAAGTAGACACAGACATGTCCCAGTTGAGGGTGGCTACTGTGGCTGGAGAGCGGGGTGCCTTATCATGGTGAAGAATCGTCTACAGAGGTAAAAAACAGGTTTCTTTTTTTATTGTGGCCTCCAATCCTAAAGTAACTATTATTCTTAGAACTAAACACCTGAGAAATAAAATTTGTCATGAAAAATTGTCCTTCCATGAGTTTATTATGAATTCTTGCCCTGAAAATTCCAGGACAGATTGCAAAGCTGTTTTAACTCCGTGTTGAGCACATGAAGTACTACCATTATGCTGCAAATTTATAGCTCCCTCCAACTCTGCCTGAAGACACACTAGGGGGGTTGGAGCAGGTGAATATTTGGATTATTGTGGCCTCCAATCCTAAAGTAACTATTATTCTTCAGTTCCGTCATGGCTGGGGTGGATGATGGTCAATGTACTGGGGATCAACACAGGTAAGGGTTGAGCATTATCAGCTGGGATTATAAGGAGGACAGTTTTTCAACCACACAGCAATATACCCTGGAATTAGTGTTTGCTCTTCAGAAAACAAAAGGCCTCCAGAAATCATTAAAAGAAAGTCAGAGAGTCATGTATTTCTGATTTAAAAATGAACAAAACACTAGTCTTATCTCTTGCAAAAAATATTTAAGGTTTATTTCCTAAGAAGAGTATATTACTTGAAGAACAATCATTCTTCAAAGTTGTACCTGTACTTGAGCCTTTAACTAAAAGGACTGAATTTCTTTTACTATAGGAATCCCAGTGATGCCGAGTGCCATGCAATGAGTGTTTGTGTATCCCCAGAATTCACATGTTGAAATTCTAACCTCCCATGTGATGGTATCAGGAGGTGGGACCTCTGGGAGGTGATTAGGCCATGAGGGTGGAACCCTCATGAAATAAATCAGTGCCCTTGTGAAAAGGAGTACAAAGAGCTCCATGACCCCTTCCACCCCCTGAGGACAGACAAAAAAGACAGCCTTCTAAGCAGAGAGGAGGTGAATTCCCACCAAACTCTGTCAGAAGGATCTGTCAGCACTTTCATCTTGGATTTACCTGCTTCTAGAACTCTAAGAAATAAATTCCTGTTGTTCATAAGCCACCCACTTTATGGTACGCTCTCTGTTACAGCAGCCCAAGTGGACTGAGACGCCAAGCTTCTACACATGTTGGTGAGCAGGCAGTCCTGTCTCCCTCCTGGTTTGGCCAAGTCTCTCAGAGATGCCCACCCATTCTACAGGCTCAGTGCTGGCTACACTCATCATTGCTGAAGCCTAGCTCTGCTCAATGGGAGTAATAGCAGACATTCTCCCCTGCGCTCCCCTCCCTTCCCCTGATTCTCCCCAGTTTTACTCAGCCTCAGGCCTGCCACGCCAGAACCGGCTCCCAGTGATATAGCTCTTTAGGGTCAGTTCTTCAGTTGGCAAGTACATGCCATTTCCCCAGGCACCCCCATGGTGTCAAGCTGGGTAGGTTGGAAGGAGGCTCCAGCATCCGTCTCATGCTGTTCCCAGAGCCAGGAATTTGGGAGTGATCGGCTCCAGGCCCTAGGCCACCAGCCCAGGTTCTCCTCTATCCTGCAGTGAAAGTCATGTCAATGGCCTCATCACAACTGTCTGTCACTGAGCCTCTGTCAAGGCCCCCCTGTTTCATCTGACTTGTTCTGGTAACTTTGAATCCCAAAGAAACTAAGCCAATAATGCTCAGTATGGGTCGTTATTGTTGTTGAGCATTATTTGCTGTCTAAGTGCAAGTTCCTATTTGATTAAATTGAACAAAACAGGAAGGATGGGCAGGGGTTGGCCCTGCCGCACCCGGTGAGCGTGTGTGTTGTGTGTGAGTGTATTATGGGGAGAGGCGCGCACCGTAAGGACCGGCCCTGAGGTGCACTCTTCTGAGGTGCAGCTCTTTTCTTTCTTGGGATTGATGAGGAAAATCTAAGGTGGGGCAAATAAAGAGGTATTAAAGACAAATTTGGGGTGATGGAGATTTTATAACCTGTTGCTAATTTGAATCATCAGAGCCGACAGTCCAACGTTTGGGCAGAGGCCTTGCACTGCCTATAGTCACCACGTAGGATATTTCTGTAACTCCTGAGTCACATAACAGGCCAGATACAAATCACAGTGTAGGTATGCCAGGAACCCCTACATTTTCTGCTGAGAGCCTTGGGAATCCAGAGGGAGACAGACAGTTTGGTCCATCGCAAACAGGTTAATTTGGCACAGCCCGATGAGTAATGCTGAGCATCTCCTCCGTGCTAGACCTTTAGGGGGTGAAATGCTGTAGCTCTTCCTGTGGAAGAGTTGATCACCTCCTTCGGGTAAAGAGAAGCGTGTACTCCTAGAAGCAATTAAGACAACAGACTCTGTACAGGGCCTCTGGGCATGACCTGTCACTGCCGTGGTTAGCATTGTGTGACCAGCTCCCTTCAAAGGGAAATGCTTACCTGTCCTCCTGCTTGACCATTCTGCATGACACTAGCCTGATTCTCGGAAACAAGGAAGAGGTTGTTCCTAGTGGTCAGGACACTTGGGTTGAGAAGTGAGATGGCAGCCCTTCTGTCTGGTCCTGAGCTGGAGTTGAAATGGTAGCTTCAGGATTTACCCTTTCCTGGGTGTTTTCACTCCTGGAAAGTAGACACAGACATGTCCCAGTTGAGGGTGGCTACTGTGGCTGGAGAGCGGGGTGCCTTATCATGGTGAAGAATCGTCTACAGAGGTAAAAAACAGGTTTCTTTTTTTATTGTGGCCTCCAATCCTAAAGTAACTATTATTCTTCAGTTCCATCATGGCTGGGGTAGATGATGGTCAGAGTACTGGGGACAAGACAGGTCCTAGTGGGAAGGCAGATGAGATCAACACAGGTAAGGGTTGAGCATTATCAGCTGGGATCTGAGAAGGAAAGTTTTTCAACCACACAGCAATATACCCTGGAATTAGTGTTTGCTCTTCAGAAAACAAAAGGCCTCCAAAAATCATTAAAAGAAAGTCAGAGAGTCATGTATTTCTGATTTAAAAATGAAGAAAACACTAGTCTTATCTCTTGCAAAAAATAGTTAAGGTTTATTTCCTAAGTAGAGTATGTTACTTGCAGAACAATCATTCTTCAAAGTTGTCCCTGTACTTGAGCCTTTAACTAAAAGGACTGAATTTCCTTTACTATAGGAATCTGGTCCTGAGCTGGGACATCTGCCTGGTGTTGGATTAGAACAGGCTGGTCATCTCCTGGGGGAGTGAGGTGGGTACTTCTTACAAGAAGCAGAGCTCCCTGGTTTTCTACAGGGCTATGAGAAAAATTGCTCTTAATTATGTTAATTACAACAACAGGGCACTTCACTTCTCAGAAGAGCTTTTCATCTTCAAAGGGGCTCCAAGATGGAGCATTAAGGCCTGACATGAAAGTCTGGAGTTTGAGAACTGAGGGCGGGGAGACCCGAGCCGCGTGGGCTGTGGCATCCAGTGGCAGCCTGGAAATCCAGTGCCCAAGTTGCGGTCTCGCTTCAGGGTGGGGAACAGGTCAAGGCAGGAATATGAATCCAGAAACTGGCTTGCACCCCACTGAAATTGGGAGGCAGGGGGCTGGAGTGTGAGTCTCCAGCCAGTTCTCCCTGACCCCGTGTATTAGGGTTACCAGATACATAGAGGACCCCCAGTGAAATCTGAATTTCAGATAAACAATAAACACATGAATGCAATAAGCAATTCTTTGCTTACACACACACACACACACACACACACACACACACACACACACTTACACACACATGCAGCTCATACACAAAGGCTGGGCTTCCTATCCCATAAATGCTTCCCTGACAGGTCAGTAAGTCGGGGCATGTTCCCCCAGGGCCACAGGGAACAGGCACTTTCCAGACTTGCCCAGACACAGCCTCTTTCCCACCCTCATGTGGGAATGCCAGAAGGTGCTCTTTTCAGTTCTCTGGGGGCCAGAACTCAGGGCTGGGCCTCTGGGCAGACAGTCCAGCCTTCCCAACTCCTTGATTTGCCTTGGATTTGGGGAAAAACAGCTCGGGAATGGAATGCCTAAAGCTTCCCCTCTCCCCTCCCATCCTTCCTTCTGGGCCCCCTGATCTCCACCCCACCACTCTGTAGCTGAAGGGAGAAATGCACAGCTACCCACCCCCACCGCCCCGATCGGCGGGAATACAAATTCCTCTGTGACACAAACCAGAGAGACGGTCACTGGGCTGAGATGAGCTTCCTGCCTAGGCAGTGGAATCCAGGCCGTCAGGACGGGTCTGGGCCTGAACTAGAAATGCTGCTGGTTTCCTGGGCAGGGTGGGAAGGGAAGACAAGCTCGCACTTGCCGCAGCTCAGAATAGTAACTGGGAGGTGGTGATGCCCGATCTGCACCAGAGCGAAACTCTCGGGGCCTCCAGACATTAATGAATTTAGAGAGGTTCCCAGGCCCCCTAAAGTTCCAGAGCCAGGCCCTGGGCTCAGTCAGTCAGGGTCAAGGACAGAGCATGGTGCCTTCTTCACGCCTCCAGGACAGACAGATGGTCACAGGCGTTCACATCCTGGGATGTTACTTCAGGCCTGTGGGCAAGATTAACATTCCAAAGCATGGGCTTCCCTTCATGACCTAATGGAAAGGGCACCGCATCAGACAGGTGGGGCCGGGTAGCTTCCTACTCAGGTTCACCAGCTGAGTAACCTTGGATAAGACTCCGAAAAATCAAACAAAAGAAAAATCCCTTAATGGATCTAAAAGTAAAGCCATTGAAGGACAATGGATGTGTGCAAGATGAAGTGGCTGGCTGGCCAGCAGTGCTGTGCTGGGGATCCCATGAGGCAGGGTGCTGAGCCACAGTGATTTCTTCAAAGTACAAGTTTCTAGAAAGATTCCAGAAAAGCTAATACCAGTAAACTGCTCTTAAAAGTGTACCGGGGAGCAGCTTTTCCCAGTGAATTGCAATAGTTAGTAGAACATGTTGTGTTTCTTTCCCTCCTTATCCTTTCTTAATAAATTAAAAGAATATGAACATAGTGTGACACCCTCAGTTCAAGGGCATCATTCAAATCTTTAGCTGCCAGTTATAGAAGAATGTTGAACACTGAACAATAAATGTTTATGGACTGACTAACCTACTATCTGATTACAGAGAGGGAGGAAGGAAAGAAGGATTGATTTTATGTTAACCGAGTAAATCTTAGTAGAAATGCTGACTCATATTTTAGAAGCCTCAAACATTGGTATTTTATTTCCCCAAATCACCCTTCATTGGCTCTGCTATTTTCCCACCTCCTTGCATTTCTATCTATGCAGCAGCCATGCCTAGATCTGTTGCTCATGTTTTGTAAATAGTGAACTCAAGCCAGTAATGCTTTGAGGCCACCTGGCTACCCAGGGATTTCGTCTGCCAGGTGCCCAGCCCAGTGAAGGCCTGGTGGGTTCTTCTTTGGATTTGAAAGGCCCAGGAGAAACTGCTACCGCTAGCAGCTCATCATTATACAGATGTCATTGTGCTGCGGAGGGACAGGTGGTGTGTAGGCCACCTCATTTCTGAGTTGGAGGTCTGAACAAAGTAAGAGGGGAAAAATAGTCCCCGAGAGTGGGATCAGAAGTTTCCCAGGGGGTTTAAAACCACGTGGAGCCTGAACACCAGATACTGTTAACATGGGCAGAGCCCCAGGGTCTGATGAAGAGCTGTATCTACTCTTGCTTCATCTCTCTTGTCATTTTGTCTATTCCAAAGTTTGGAAATTTGGACTTGAACTTGATTAGGGCCACTTCCCATGTGATCCTTTATGAGCCTCAGTTTTCTCAGGTGTGAAATAGGAATGCTACTAATTAACCAATATGCATGCATTGATCAAATATGTGCTGAAAACCTACTGTGTGCCAGGCCCTGTGCCAAGCACTGAGAACACAGGGGAAACAATACAGAGTCCCTCTCCTTCTGGAGCTTATTTGCCCTCCAGGGCAGAATTCCCCAAGTGGCAGCTCCTGTGGGGTGTTTCATATGGCTCATGTAACTAAAAATTTAAAATTTTTGTTGCAAACATGTAAAAAGTTGGAGGGTCTTACTTAAAAATCTAGATTTCCCAGGAGCAAAACTGGGCCTGTCTTTCTGTGTGGCAGCCACCAGCCAGAGCTCAGTGGCTGCTGCTTTTAAAAACATATGCTGTCAGGTAGCCACAGTCCTCAGCCTTCCCAGGCACTCCTACCCTGCTCGACCTTAATCAGTAACTTGTTTATTTGTTTGTTTACTTAAAACCTTTCAATGCTATCTCACTGTAAAGAAGAGGAAACCCAGCTATTTGATATGACATTCAATGCCCTCCAGATCTGTTTTCTGCCAAATTCATCCCTGGAAATACTACACTCTAGCAAATTGCAGTGTCCTGACCATCCTATGTGGTACCTCTGGACCTTTGCAAAGCTATTCTCTTTGCCTAAGCTGTCTTTTGCTTGCATTTTTCTAACCAGAAAATTGATATTAACCTTTAAGGGTCATCTTAAACATCTTGTCCCCATTTGTGCAGACCTGCTGTGAGGGTCACATGGTCTGGAGACCCTCAACGATGCACATGGCCCATCTGAGACCAAAGGGCCTCAATTGTTCTGCATCTTATGGTTGGGCCCAGGGAGCTTCCAGTTGGTGACAATTTGTAAAAAGCCTCAGGTTTCCCAATGAATGGGGACAAAATATAAACATGAAATGGAATAATGTCTACAAGTGAAATTAGATAATACTAAAGAAAACCTTTGGAGTTATTGATGCTTAATAAATGGAAGCTATTATTCCATTTATTATTATTAATATTCCAAGTGGGGGCAACTTTATGATGGACGGTTAAGTCAGCAGCTGCAAAGTGTGTTCAGGGAAGGAGAGCCTCCTGGGGCTGTGACAGTGGAATGGAAAGAACCACGGCTGAAAAAGTAGGCTTGGGCCAGAAAGGGGCCTTCCAGCTGGTCTCCCTGCTTTTCCCTCTTCTCCCTTCTCTCTTAAACGCAGCAGCAAGAGTGATCCTGCAAAACAAGTCACTCCATGTCACTCATCTGTCAAAGAATTCCTAGTGGCTCTCTATTCTCTCAGAGTAAAGCTAAAGCCACCACATCTCTCAGAAGCTCATACCCAATGGGTTTCCCTCACTCCTCAGCCCCTGGGCCTCATTCTGATCTCCCTGTTCAGCCTTTAACAAGCAAGAAAGCTCTGGCCTCAGGGCCTTTTCACTTGCCAACCCCTCTTCCTGGAATCTTCTTTCCTCCGCTGTCCACAAGGCTGCCTCCATCACTTTCTTAGACATCTACTTGAGTGTGGTCTTCTCTCTGTTTAGTTTACCGAAAGGTTTACTTCTGTCCTCTTCCTAATCTCTGAAGCCTTATTGTTCTTCTTAGAACTTAACCAACTAACGGGCTTTCCTTATTTTACTGATTTATCTTGGTTATTGTCTGTCTCCCCTACTAGAACATAAACAGCATGAGAGCAGAAGTTTTTTATCTGTCTTGCTTACTGCTGTATCCTCAACACCTAGAGCAGAGCCTGGCCCACAGCAGATACACAAAGAAACGTTTGTTGGATGAGTGAATAATGTTCCATGATTCAGTAAACACTGGGAAATCACAGAATGTTTTTGAGCAAGAGTGTGACTAAATCAGAACTCACAGAGGGCTGTAAGATAGAGAAGGGCTGGAAGCTGCAGGAGAGGAGGTGGTCACAATAGCGGAAGGACATGTAAATGAAAGTTTAAACAGAGGACTTGGGTAGGAATAGGAGACAATGGAGGCAGTAAGTTCCACAAGGGCACGGATCTTGCCTGCATATAGGAGGCTTTCAATGAATATTTACTGAGTGATGTTGAAGGAATGATGCTAGTGTCTTAAGCATGGACCCAGGAGGGACCCAGGGTTTGGGTCTGGGTATCGCTATTAAAGACCTGAACTTTTTTTGCTCTTAACTCCAGGGTTCCCCTGGCCAGGGGTTACATGAAATCAACACAGAGCTTCTACATTTCTATGTATATCTTCCTTTCCTTCCTTGATTGGGCTAACCCTCCATGGCGTTTAGCCACCTTTTAGACCTCAGCTCAGACAAATTGGAGTTCAGCATGTGGGAACTGAGGTGGTGCTGGACTGAAGGTGTCTAGGGGCAGGGACCAGATCAAATGACCTTTTTGAATGCTGTACAACTCAAGATATTACTGGAGAGGGGAGACCACAGGGTGGGAATTAGTGTGTAAGACTAGAGCCACCCTACAGAGTCAAAATCCCTGTGGATACCAAATGATTTCACTCATATGTGGAATATAAGAACAAAGAAAAAACTGAAGGAGCAAAACAACAGCAGACTCATAGAACCCAAGAATGGACTAACAGTTACCAAAGGGAAAGGGACTGGGCAGGAGGGGTGGGAAGGGAGGGATAAGGGTGGGGGCAAAGAA